GGCGGTCACCGACCTGGAGGTTGGGAAGACGTACACGGGCACAGTGGTAGGTGGCCGGCACTGATGTTGGCTCATTGTGCTGGTGGGAGCTGCCGTTGCATACCTGGCTGCTGTCAGGGCGGTGTGGGATGCGTGGGATGCGTGGCTCTTGAGAATACATTTTCCATATTCTGTCAGGGGCCAAGTAAGATACGCATGCCCTTTGACCATACATCCGCCTTCCCGCCCTTGCAATCGCGCAGATGGCCATCATCAAGATTGGGGCGTTCATCAACGTCGGCGCCAAGACCGACGGCCTGCTGCACATCTCCCAGATCAGCACAGAGTATGTCTCCAGCGTGACCGACCGCCTGCAAGTCGGGCAGGAGGTGGAAGTGCGGGTGCTCACCATCGAGCCGGACGGCCTCAAGTTTGCACGTGAGCGCTCTTTGATGTGCTGGGTTTGGATGTGGTGGCTACATTTTGTGTCTGAAGGTGACTCTCGGTCCCATGCACTTGATGGTTGATGTAATGCTTTTCCTCGCTGTGCTCTTCTTATCAAAACCGTCCCATGTCCAACCAACCCCGGTCACATCCTCTCGCCACCCACCCTTACAAACTCTCAACACACAGTGACCATGATCGCGGAGGGGGCCAAGCCCAAACCCTCCCACACGCCACGGCGGGACTCCAGCGCCGGCGGCGGGGCCAGGCCCGGGTCCGATGGCGGCGCTGCCAGGGGCGCGGGCGCGCGCCAGGGGTCCTCCTCGTCGTACTCCGGCCGGGGTCCAACCGGGGCCGCCCCCGGGGGCAGCGGCGCGGCGGCCACCGTGGCGCGCAAGTCTTCTGCGGGGCGCGACTCGGGCGCGCCCGCCAGGCGGAAGCTGAACGTCAAGGTGGGCGACGTCCTGATGGGCAAGATTGCCAACGTGGCCACCTTTGGAGCGTTCGTGGATGTGGGCGATGGCACCACGGGCCTCCTGCACTACAGCGAGATGAAGCTGCCGGAGGGGGTCACCGATGTCACCTCTGCATTCAAGCCTGGCCAGGAGGTGGAGGTGCGTGGCGAAGGGTTGTGGCTGGTGTGCTGCTTCACCGTCATGCATCCTGTTTCAGGCTTGAAGATGATGCAAGAGCAGCTGCTGGGCAGCATCGAGACACTCCCCCCCCCCCCCTCTCCACTTCCTCCCGGCCTCC